ATCTGTCAATAGATCAATAGAGCTGTTAAAGAATGGTCACCAAAGTTATGGTGGTTTACTTGTGGAGGGATTCCTAGTAATTTTGGTTTTCTTCCTTATGCTTTGCTTTTGTTAGAATGTTTACAATAACCGGATATTATTTACATAAGAAAAAAAAACAGCAAAGCTACAACATAATCATATCTTAGATAAGACCTCCCTAACCCTATATTTCCCACCTCTAACCTTATATTTCCCTCAAGGCAGGCCCCTTCCTTCCTGGCCCCTCCACTCCACGTTAGTTTAGGCTCTCATCACTCTCAACTCTGACTGGGCACCATGCCTCGGTCTCCCCCATCTCTAGTCAGTCCTCCATGTGGAAGCCAGGGTAACCTTTCAAGAAGGCTCAGTCCATGACACTCCCATCTGAACCTCTTCCAGGGCTGCTCGATGTCCCAGGCAGCAGTTCCCAGCCCAAGGCAGGCAGTGAATCTTCGGCCATGCGTTGTACAGCCCTGTCCACCTCCCTCTGCTCCGCCACTGCGGGACATGCAGCTCCTGGCTCACCCAGGTCCTTTCATTCCTCCACACTTATTTCTTCCACCTGCCCATCCCTAAAGACTCAGGCACTCCAACATCTCTCGTTTTCCTGTAGTCCTCTGTACATGCTTTATTATAGCACTCCCTCCACCATGAGCTACTTGAAGGCAGGACTATATTTATAATGTCTTTACTGAGTGAACCAATGAATGAACAAATGAATCTGTAAAAGCAAAACTCAAAACAGAAAATACAAGTGCATGTCAACCATTTACAGTGTCTGCATAAATATTGAAAAAGGCTGAACGGTAAACATTTTAAAGTTCATTTTTCTCTATTCCAGCAAAGTGGCTTGAGCCACTTTTTAAATTAATACTGGTAATTTGCCCAATGAACAATTTATATTCAAGTTAACTACAGTTTAAATTCCTAACAGAGAAGTCAAAAAGAAAGCCATTTTCCCCTTTTTTAAATAAAATAAGAAGTTCAATACTCTTCTATAAATAGCGTTCCTCACCACCACCATCCACCCCCTGCCCCCACCCCCTACCTCGTTCCCCTTCCCAATAAAACACGGCCCAGCTGTGGGTTACTCACTGGAGTTCAGGAGGATCATGGCCTTGACACAGAGATACTCGTTGTGTTGGAGTTTTAACTCACGAAACCTTGAAGTCGTTGCCAGGAGCATGTCAAAGATTTCCAGAATTCCTTCCACGCATTTCCCTTCATCCCTATAATAGTTCATTTGGAAATTAAAGAAAATCATAGCCACCAACAAAGGCAATAAGGAGTATTGTCTTTTTAAGCTTAAATTTCATTTTGTACATGTTTTAACTATAACAAGGTGGCGATGAGACTACACCCAGAGATATGAAATTATCAGAATTATCTTCTTATAAAGAGAACAGGGCATTTCCTATAAATACCTAAATTAAACACTTGAATAAATACTATTTAGACAAAAGCCTGCATTGGAACTACATTTTTTTTCTACCTGTTCATAAATGTTATCTTAAAGGAATAACATTTTTGTTGGTAATCTAAGCCATGTCAGCCAACCAGCCTGTGACATGACACATATTACTCAAGTGAGACATTCCATGGCCCCATGAGATGGCTCTAAAGTGTTCATGAGGAAGACTGACCATTACAGAAGCTAATATCCCAAGATGAAATAACCCTTCATATCTAGGGTTTAACTCTCATTTCCTGGTGGTCATTTAGAAACTGGAGGGGCAACTAAGAGACATGTAAATGTAATTTGAAAAAAGTTAGCATGACATACAAAGAAATCACAATTAGAGTAGATAGATTAGAATTAGAAAAGGCAGAGATGGAGACATGGAAATGTCTGACTTGCCAAAGATTATTTTTAAGCAACAGTTTTAGACAAACTTTGAAACATGAAATCAAAATTCTTTTCAGGACTCCTTAAACAAATGATTCTTTAGGTATACATTTGAAATAAATTACTTTAAAATACCAGCTAGAAAATACCAGCTTCAATTAACTCCCACCACTTATTATTCTGCCTCACTGCTCCCAAAAATGTCTATCATCATTTGTCTTAAGAGTTATTGGAAGTCCTTGATAAGCAGTTAGATGATTGTGCTACAAAACTTTCATTTGCTTCTAAAAACCTGTGGCAAACAGTAAAGGGCAGCCATGGGTTTCTTTGAGTTTCATTTTTAGACTCCGTAGCAGCCCCGGGGAGATTTGAGATCTTCAAAGAACTGGCTAGTCCCCTCTTCCTTCCCTCAACCCCAAGCCAGGCCATTTACGGGAATGGTGGTGGTTGAGGAAGGGCCACTATAGAATTCAAATAAACAGACACCAGCGGGTACTGCCAAACCTGGGGAAGCCCTTCCCAGACAATGCTATGCTAGGACAGCAGCTCACCAGGACCCTGCAATCCACAGCATTCAAAACATCATACCCCCAGACTCACCTACACAAAGCTACAAGCATGCAAACTGCTCACTTTGGCAAGCAAGCATGGCAACTTCTGCAACCAGCTGAGACTTTCTGAAAGTG